GTTTTTTGTATTTTTAGTAGAGACGGGGTTTCACCATGTTAGCCAGGATGGTCTCGATCTCCTGACCTCGTGATCCACCCGCCTCGGCCCCCCAAAGTGCTGGGATTACAGGCTTGAGCCACCGCGCCCGGCCAGAAGGTTCTTTGTAATTTTCCCAACCCTTGAGAATGTACTTTGTGAGATCCACCCCCTGCCCACAAAACATTGCTCCTAACTCCACCGCCTATCCCCAAACCTATAAGAACTCATGAGAATCCACCACCCTTTGCTGACTCTCTTTTCGGACTCAGTCCGCCTGCACCCAGGTGAAATAAACAGCCACGTTGCTCACACAAAGCCTGTTTGGTGGTCTCTTCACACGGACGTGTGAGACAATATATCATCATATCTATGATCTATATCTAGTGTAACTATTCTTATTTAATATATTTTCTTTATTATACTGGAACAGCTCGTACCCTTGGTCTCCTGCCTCGGCACCTGGGTGACTTACCGCCCACAACACAAAGCCGGTTTGGTGGTCTCTTCACACGGACGCAAGTGAAAGAAAACAGGACACTAAAGCGAAGAGGGAGGCTCCTACCCCTCATGCTCAGTTGAATCTGGCTCTTTTTACACTAAATTTCTTTCTTTCTTCTTTTTTCTGAGATGGAGTCTTGCTCTGTCGCCCAGGCTGGGGTGCAGTGGCACCATCTCGGCTCACTGCAACCTCCGCCTCCCAGGTTCAAGAAATTGTCTGCCTCAGCCTCCTGAGTAGCTGGGATTATAAGCACCTGCCACCACGCCTGGCTAATGTTTTTGTATTTTTAGTAGAGCCAGGGTTTCACCATCTTGGCCAGGCTGGTCTTGAACTCCTGACCTCGTGATCCGCCCACCCCGGCCTCCCAAAGTGCTGGGATTACAGGCGTGAGCCACCGCGCTTGGCCTTTTTACGCTAAATTTCTTAAGCCTGGCAAGAAATCAACCTTTTACAGCAGCAGAACAACATTTCCCTGGAAATAAATTTGATCCACAAAACGGAAAGCGGGTATGGTGATAGGATGCGGAAACTGACAAATGGGAATTAGGCACTGTGGTAACATGGGGTAGGGGTTTTGCTTGTGTTTTCCCAGGAGAAGGACAATAACCCATGTGGGTTCCCTCCTGGCAACTGAAATTGCATTATAACTCCAAGGACGAAGTGAAGGGGGCCAGCCCCTCCACACCTGTGGGTATTTCTTCAAGGACGAAGTGAAGAGGGCCAACCCCTCCACACCTGTGGGTATTTCTCCACGGACGAAGTGAAGGGGGCCAGCCACTCCACACCTGTGGGTATTTCTCCAAGGATGATGTGAAGGGGACCAGCCCCTCCACACCTGTGGGTATTTCTCCAAGGATGATGTGAAGGGGACCAGCCCCTCCACACCTGTGGGTATTTCTCCAAGGATGACGTGAAGGGGACCAGCCCCTCCACACCTGTGGGCATTTCTCATCAGGTGGAACGAGCGACTCAGAAAAGAAATAAGACACGGAGACAAAGTATAGAGAAAGAACAGTGGGCCCAGGAGACCGGCACACTCAGCATACGGAGGACCCACGCTGGTGCCGGCCTCTGAGTTCCCTCAGTATTTATTGATCATTATTTTTACTATCTTAGTGAGGGGACTGCAGCAGGACAACAGGTGGGGAGAAGGTCAGCAGGGAAACATGTGAGCAAAGCAATCGGTATCATGAAAAAGTTCAAGGAAAGGTACTGTGCCTGGATGTGCACGTAGGCTAGATTTATGTTTCTCTTTACCCAAACATCTCAGTGTAGCAAACAGTAACAGAGCAGTATCGCTGCCAGTAGATCTCATCTCTAACGACAGGGTGGTTTTCTCCTATGTCAGCATAGAACGAATGGGAATGGTGAGCTTTACACCAAGACATTCCGTTCCCAGGGACAAGCAGGAGACAGAGCCTTCCTCTTCTCTCAACGGCAAAGAGGCCTCCCTCTTTCACTACTCCTCCTCAGCACAGACCCTTTACGGGTGTCGGGCTGGGGGAATGGTAAGCTCTTTCCTTTTCCATAAGGCCATATCTCAGGCTGTCTCAGTGGGAGGGGAAACTTTGGACAATACCCAAACTTTCTTGAGCAGAGGTCCCTGCGACCTTCCGCAGTGCATTGTGTCCCTGGGTACTCGAGACTGGAGAATGGCGACGACTTTTACCAAGCATACTGCCTGCAAGCATGTTGTAACAAGGCACATCCTCCACAGTCCTAAATCCATTAAATTAGGATTTAATACAGTACATGTTTCTGTGAGCACAGGGTTGGGGCTAAAGTTACAGGTTAACAGCATCTCAAAGCAGAAACAATTTTTCTTAGTACAGATCAAAATGGAGTTTCTTACGTCTTCCTTTTCTACATAGACACAGTAACAATCTGATCATCTCTTTCTTTTCCCCATAATGAAGAGCTCTCGGAAACAAAAGGCAAAGAGCCGTCAGAAATCGAAGGGCAAGGTTTGCCTCCTGACACATAAATTGCATGACCTTGACATTACAATAAAATCTTGCCGTGTGGCCTACCATAAGGAATTCTGAAAACGACGGGTAATATAATTCTGGCTGCCTTTGGGGTGGTCAGTGCAGTGGTGAGTATACCAGCGGTGGGGGCAACTGAAAATTGTACCTACTGGGCATATGTTCCTTTTGCCCCTTTAATTTGGTCCATCTCCTGGATGGACTGCTCAGTGGAAGTTTACACTGATAATAGCACATTCATGCTAGTCCCTAATGATGACAGGTTTCCAGCTTACCAGAAGAAGCTCCTCTCACTGTGAATGCAGACGCTGGCTAGCCCCGGAACTTTGTCCCCTGTGGAAATCAAAGATAACTTCATATCACATCCTGATCATAGGAGACACCCTAAAATATCACAGATGCTCACCCTGACTTAGACCTTGAAGTAATTAGTGGAGTCCATGTGAATCAATGTGACTTAATATATTTATGAAAAGGTGTGGCCAGTCGCATGCTCATGCCTGTTATCCCAGCACTTTGGGAGGCCGAGGCTGGAGGATTGCTTGAGCCTAGGATTTGGAGGCCAGCCTGGGCAATATGGCAAAACCCCATCTCTACTAAAAATACAAAAAATTAGCCAGACGTGGTGGCGCGCAACTCTAGTGCCAGCTAACAGGAACGCTGAAATAGAAGGATCACTCGAGCCTTGGAGATCAAGGCTGTAGTGAGCCATAACCACACCACTGCACTCCAGCCTGGGTGCCTTGACAGAGTGAGACCCGGTCTCAAAAAATACACATACAAAAAAGTCAGCTATTTAAATTTTTATTTTTATTTATTTATTTTGGAGACAGAGTTTCGCTCTATCCCCCAGATTGGAGTGCAGTGGAACGATCTCGTCTCACTGCAGCCTCTGCCTCCTGGGTTCAAGTGGTTCTCCTCCCTTAGGCTTCCAAGTAGCTGGGATTACAGGCATGCACCACCATGCCCGGCTAATTTTTGCTTTTTTTTTATTTTTTTTTTATTTTGAGATGTAGTCTTGCTCTGTTGCCCAGGTTGGATGGAGCGCAGTGGTACGACCTCGGCTCACTGCAACCTCTGCCTCCCAGGCTTAAGCAATTCTCCTGCCTCAGCCTCCCGAGTAGCTGGGATTACAGGTGCCCGCCACCACGCCTGGCTAATTTTTGTATTTTTAATAGAGATGGGGTTTCACCATGTTGGCCACGATGGTCTCGAACTCCTGACCTCAGGTGATCCACTCGCCTCAGCCTCCCAAAGCACTGGGATTACAGGCATGAGCCACCATGCCAGGCCTAATTTTTGCATTTTTAGTAGAGACAGGGTTTCGCCATGTTGGCCAGACTGGTCTCGAACCCCTGACCTCAGGTGATCCACCTGCCTTGACCTCCCAAAGTTTTGGGATTATAGGCGTGAGCCGCCATGCCCGGCCTATGTTGTATTTTTAGACACTAGGCTCTGTCACCCAGGATGGAGCGCAGTGGTGCAGTCATTGCAGCCTCAACCTCCCAGGCTCAAGTGATCCTCCCATCTCAACTAAGTAGATGGAACTACAGGCTCATGACAACACCATGCCCAGCTAAGTTTTTAATTTTTTCATAGAGATGGGGTCTCACACTGTTGCCCAGGCTGGTCTCAAACTCCTGGTCTCAGGTGATCCTCCTGCCTCAGCCTCCCAAAGTGCTGAGATTGCAGGCATGAGTCACTGTCTGCTACATGTGTTTTTTTTTGTTTTTCTTTCTTTCTTTTTTTTTTTTTTTTTTTTGAGATGGAGTCTCACTCTGTCACCTAGGCTGGAGTGCAATCAGCTCACTCTAACGTCCGCCTCCTGGCTTCAAGCGATTCTCCTGCCTCAGCCTCTCGAGTAGCTGGGATCACAGGTGCCCACCACCACGCCTGGCTAAATTTTGTATTTTTAGTAGAGACAGGGTTTCACCATGTTGGCCAGGCTGGTCTCGAACTCCTGACTTCAGATGATCCTCCCACCTCTGCCTCTCAAAGTGCTGGGATCGCAGGCATGAGCCACTGCACCCGTCTGTTACGTGTTTTCTTTTTTTTTTTTTTTTTTTTTGAGACGGAGTCTCGCGCTTTGTCACCCAGGCTGGAGTGCAGTGGCGCGATCTCGGCTCACTGCAAGCTCCGCCTCCCAGGTTCATGCCATTCTCCTGCCTCAGCCTCCGAGTAGCTGGGACTACAGGCGCCTGCCACCACGCCCGGCTAGTTTTTTTTTGTATTTTTAGTAGAGACGGGGTTTCACCATGTTAGCCAGGATGGTCTCGATCTCCTGACCTCGTGATCCACCCGCCTCGGTGAGCCACCGCGCCCGGCCACGTGTTTTCTTAATGCGTTCGTTTGCAGCTCTCTCCTGAGAAGGGCCACACAGAGAGCCCTGCCCCCTGCCCTTAGAGGCCCCTCAGGTCAAGGTTTAGGGAGATTAGTGAAGTCCTAAGCTGGCTTCCTGAAGATTTCTATTTCTGGGAGAGGAGCCAGTCTGCAGACCGGGGACCACACGCCGCGCTGTTCCCAGCACCCAGCCCAGGTTACCATGGCCTCCCTGTTTTCTGGCCGCATCCTGATCTGCAACAACAATGACCAGGACGAGCTGGACACGGAGGCCGAGGTCATCCGCAGGTTGGAGAACCGGCTGGTGCTGCTGTTCTTTGGCGCCGGGGCTTGTCCACAGTGCCAGGCCTTCGTGCCCATCCTCAAGGACTTCTTCGTGCGGCTTACAGATGAGTTCTATGTGCTGCGGGCAGCACAACTGGCCCTGGTGTACGTGTCCCAGGACTCCACGGAGGAGCAGCAAGACCTGTTCCTCAAGGACATGCCAAAGAAGTGGCTTTTCCTGCCCTTTGAGGATGAACTGAGGAGGTGAGGAGGGGCAGGGAGGGCTTCCTGGAGGAGGGGGCATGTTCACTGAAAGTGAAGCATCCATTCTAACTAGAGTGAATGAGCAGCCCCTGTGTGCCAGTCCATCTACTGGGAACTAGGGGTACAGAGAGGGGTGCCCACTTCCACATGCCAGCTTCCATGCCACCCCAGGGAGCTTAGAGCCAAGTGAGAGGAACAGATGCAAAAGAGACACTCCACTATGTAATAGCAAGGCCAAGCGTGGTGGCTTACCCCTGTAATCCCAGGACTTTGGCAGGCCGAGGCGGGCAGATTACCTGAGATCGGGAGTTCGAGACCAGCCTGATCAACATGGTGAAACCCTGTCTCTACTGAAAATACAAAAATTAGCCAGGCATGATGGTGGGCGCCTGTAATCCCAGCTGCTTGGGAGGCTGAGACGGGAGAATCGTTTGAACCTGGGAGGCAGATGCTGCAGGGAGGCGAGATCACACCACTGCCCTCCAGCCTGGGCCACAGAGGGAGACTCTGTCTAAAAAAAACAAAAACAAAATATATAATAGCGAACTGCAGTAGTGCTCAGAGGACAAAGCTAGGCCACAAAGTGGAAATACAGTGAGGGAAACCTTGGTGAGGTTCTGGGGTCAGAGGATGCTTCCCTGAGGAAGTGACTTTAAAGAGAGACCCCTAGCTGGGCGTGGTGGCTCGTGCCTGTAGTCCCAGCCACTTGGGAGGCTGTGGTAAGAAGATAACTGGAGCCTGGAGTTTGAGGCTGCAGTGAGCTTTGATCGCACCACTGCACTCCAGCCAGGGCAATACAGCTAGACCCTGTCTCTTAAAAAAGTAAGGCCAGGCACGGTGGCTCACGCCTGTAAACCTAACACTTTGGGAGGCCAAGGTGAGCAGATCACCTGAGGTCAGGAGTTCGAGACCAGCCTGACCAATACGGCAAAACCCCATCTCTACGAAAAATACAAAAATTAGCCAGGCCTGGTGGCGCACACCTGTGGTCCCAGCTACTCGGGAGGCTGAGGCAGGAGAATCGCTTGAATCCAGGAGGCGGAAGTTGCAGTGATCCGAGATGGTGCCACTGCACTCCGGCCTGGGCAACAGAGTGAGACCATATCTCAAAAATAAAAATAAAAAATGAAAAATGTAATAAATAAATAAAATACAGGGAGACTCCAAGGAGAAGAAAGATAGGAGGATGGAGAGTGAGGAAAGGGAGGGGTTCCAGGCAGAGGGCACAGCAGAAAGGCTTGGAGACTGGCAGATAAAGAATGACCAGTTCAGGGAGACCATAATTCCGGAGAGGACTGAATTTACAATGTTATTGTTACCGCCTACGCATTTGTCATAATCTTCTTAAGGTGTGACAGGTCTGTGGTGCAGAGCCACCTTAACAAGTATAGACATGATCCTCAGGGTAGCAGGGAGCCATGGTGGACATGAGAACTGAGGGAGAGGTAGTTGGATTCAAGCTTTGTAAGGAGATGTCCAGCCAGGCATGGTGGCTGACACCTGCAATCCCAGCACTTTTGGAGGCTGAGGCAGGAGGATTGCTTGAGGCTGGGAGTTGAAGACCAGCCTGGGCAACACGGCAAGACACCACCACCCCCATCTCTAAAATTATAAAAAGAAAAATTATGAAAGGTGGCCTGGCGCAGTGGCTCATGCCTGTAATCCCAGCACTTTGGGAGACCGAGGTGGGTGGAACACCTGAGGTCAGGAGTTCAAGACCAACCTGACCAACATGGCGAAACCCCGTCTCTACTAAAGACACAAAAATTAGCCGGACGTGGTGGTGGGTATCTGTAGTCCCAGCTACTCAGGAGGCTGAGGCAGGAGAATCGCTTGCACCCGGGAGGCAGAGGGTGCAGTGAGCCAAGATCGTGCTACTGCACTCCAGCCTGAGCAACAGAGCGAGACTGTCTCAAAAAACAGAAAAAATTTTAAAAGATCCTCTTAAAAAAATTACAAAAGGAGCTGCCCAGTAAACAGTATTATAGTTTGACTTTTTATTATGAAAAAATGTTCACACATAGCAAAAAGTTGAAAGAAGTGTACAATGAAACCCACCACAATTGTTAACATTTTGCCATATTCACTTTGTCCACACACATGTGTATAGTTTGTGCTAAACGATTTGAAAGTGACTTGCAGACTTCATGACATTTTCCCAATGTCATGCCTTTTGTTACTCAACAAGTTGGAAGTTTCTGGTCATCAGAGTTTGGACATCATCAGAGTTTGGACACTGAATCCTGCCCACTGCCCTCGGCAGCTAAGGAGATTCCTCCCCGATGCCAGCAACACTTCCTTCCCTGAGGCAGAGACACCAGCTGCAGACAAATGCTCATCTTGCCTGAGACAGGGTCCTCTCAACAAAACATTCACCCAGACTAGTATGTTATCTGGGTATTTCCCATTCCACAGCCCCCATAGATGGGACGTTCAGTTAAATGAAATTTCAGGCTGGGTGCGGTGGCTCATGCCTATAATCCCAGTGCTTCGGGAGGCAGAGGTGGAAGGATCACTTGAGGCCAGGAGTTCAAAACCAGCCTGAACAACATAGCAAGACCATATCTTTACAAAAACTTTAAAAAAAAATTAGTCACGTGTGGTAGTACGAGCCTGTAGTCCCAGCTACTTGGGAGGCTGAGGCTACAGGATCACCTGAGCCCAGGAGTTTGAAGTTAGCACGATCTATGATCCCACCATTGCACTCTAGCCTGGGTGACAGATGGAGGCGCTTTCTCTAAAAAAAGAAAAAAAGAAAAAAAAAATGAGATAAACAATAAATAATCTTTCTTTTAGTATAAGTATGTCCCATACATTTGGATATACTTATACTAAAAGATTATTCATTATTTATTCGAAATTCAAATTTAACTAGTGTGTGTATTTATATGTATAATAGAGAGAGATGGGGTCTCGTTATGTTCCCCAAGCTGGTCTCAAACCCTTGGGCTCAAGCAGTCCTCCCACCTCGGCCTTCCAAAGTGCTGGGATTACAGGAGTGAGCCACTGTACCTAGCCTCAACTTTTTATTTTTATTTTTTTAAGAGAGGGAGTGTCCTATATTTTTAATTGCTAAACCTGGCAATCTACTCATGGGATTTTGTAAGTATCATGGGTTCTCTTTGTGGCAGTCTGGAAAAGGGCCACGGAAGGATGCAGCAGGCTGAAATTAAGAACCGTTAGCTATGGCCGGGCGCAGTGGCTTATGCCTGTAATCCCAGCATTTTGGGAGACCAAGGCAGGCGGATCACTGGAGGTGAAGAGTTCGAGACCAGTCTGGACAACATGGTGAAACCTCATCTCTACTAAAAACACAAAAATTGGCCGGGCGCAGTGGCTCACGCCTGTAATGCCAGCACTTCGGGAGGCCGAGGTAGGTGGATCACGAGGTCAGGAGATCGAGACCATCCTGGCTAACACGGTGAAACCCCATCTCTACTAAAAATACAAAAAAATCAGCCGGGCGTAGTGGCAGGCGCCTGTAGTCCCAGCTCTTTGGGAGGCTGAGGCAGGAGAATGGCGTGAACCCGGGAGGCGGAGCTTGCAGTGAGCCGAGATCGCACCACCGCACTCCAGCCTGGGAGACTGAGCAAAAAAAAAGAAGAAAAAAAAACACACACACACAAAAATTAACTGATTGCGGTGGCACACTCCTGTAGTCCCAGCTACTCAGGAGGCTGAAGCAGGAGAATCGCTTGAACCCAGGAGGCAGAGGTTGCAGTGAGCCAAGATCATGCCACTGCATTCCAGCCTCAGCAACACAGCAAGACTCTGTCTTAAACAAACAAACAAAAAAAGCCGGGTGCGGCGGCTCATGCCTGTAATC